AAAAAAAAAAAAAAAAAAAAAAAAAAAAAAAAAAAAGAAAACATCTCCTTTTGGCTCAGCAGAGAAAAGGTGAACACATCAGCCAGCTGGAGCCCAGAAAGAGTCCCCTCCCCCACCTCGGCACAAGGAAGCTGCTGCCAACACTGTCAGGCTGTGGCACTAAAACAGAAATGACTGTGAGTGACGTCCACGGCAGGTCCCACGGTGTCTCCCTCCTGTCTCAAGGCGACATTAGCTACTGTCATCCAGACTGGAGAAAGGATAACCATACTGCAGTGAGACTGGGGTGAAGAGATGCTGTAAGAGGGAAGCCTGAGTCCCGTCTGCAGAAGCCACCAACGTGTGAGGTCCCCAGTCTGTTCCCATCCTAGAGGTGAGAGTTTTCCTGCCTTCCGTGACCCCTCACCTGCTCCAGATGGTCCTAGACCTAGGGTTCCAAAATGACGAGTTCTCCACCAGAACAAGGGAAGTCCTAGCCAGTGAGTTTGTCCCTGAGCCCATGAGCTTATGTCCACAAGCCATGGGTGCAGGTAAATGCACACACATGTGAAGGGAGGTGACCCACCACTCTGTTTAACACACCCAGGGAGTCATCTGATGGTAAGAACTAAGCTCAGACTTTCTGGAAGATGCGAGGAGGACATTTCATTCAGCCTCTCAAACTCACGCTGAGCATCCGAAACCAGGAGCAGTTAGAATCCGTGCATGCTAGGAGCTCAAGTCCAACCAGGAGACAAGAATGACAGCCCGGGGGAGCTCTGTCATGGGGCATGAATAAAGCCTTGTGGGATCTCAGTGAAGACAGATGCTAGTTCCTAAAGAGACTCTTACTTTCTTGTCACCTGATCCCACGTTTACTGAGCAGTTTTAGGTGAGAGCCCACCGCACACTGAGGCACCTGAACCCTGACCTGTCATCTTAGAAGGAGCCAAGCTGAGGGCTCATTTGTCTCTACATATACATCTGAGTGGCAGGAAGGATTCATTCAAGGAAGAAATGTGCTCTTGGCTAAATGCCTCAGGGTAATGAGCCCACTCTTTAAAATCTCACCAAAAGGATCACGTGTTTGCACTGTGCTGGCTCCAAGCTGGCAGCCAGCGCTCTGTGGCAGACAGCTGCCCAAAGCCAGTGGCACTGCCCAGGCATGGGGGTGGGGCCGTTTTCACTCACCAGATAGTGGGTCTCTGCCAATCATCAAAACATTGGGCAAATTCATTACAATCAGCTGCTGGAGAACTTCCTATAGAAACAAAGGGGGAAAGATACCATTAAGATCAGAAAAAAGAGTGATTAAGTAAATCACAGTTAATCAAGTCACTGGATACGTGTGTAGCCATTAAATCGGTAACTAGGAAGGAATATTTAAGATATAAACATATGTGAAAAGTTAATATAATTATACTAATTATGTTAAATTTTACTAATTCAAGTAAAAATCATGTCTGCATAGGTAGAGAGACCTGGAATAAAAAAGATATATGACATGCTATGATAGAATTATGTTTCTTTATAAAAAATACCTCTACTATTTTTTTTTGGCTGGCTTGTGCAATTAAAAAAGAATAGGGAATAAAGATCACTATAGAGATGTTATTGAGCCATTATAACCTGATGATTTGATATCCAAGTGTGAAGCAGGACTTTGGTACAAATTAGAAATGAGGAGACTTCTTTCAACACAGCAATGACTTCCTGGGAGAGGATAAATCAGAGGCACAGCACAGGCAACCAGCTGCCTTCTGGCCCTCTCACAACAAGGGACTTTGAGAGAAGGCCCAGGCACCAGCCATCAGTCAAACTCTCTCGTCATGTCTCCTACCAGCCCTCCTCAGAGCGTGCCGGCTCAGAGACCCGGCCACCATGGACTGGTCCCAGAACATTTCTCAAGGGAGGTCCTTCTTCCCCGTCCAAATGTGTTCACAAGCAAGAAGATTAAAAAAATCCAATTCTGCAGATGACAAAAAAGAGGATGGGTTCCCTAACTATCCTAATAGTGATCACTATAGGAATCTTCACCAAGGACGCTTCTCTTAGGCCTTTTTAGATGCATTTCCATTGAGACACAAATTGTTTCAGGAAGTCGCTCAATTGTATAACATGTGGCTTCTCTGTGCCCAGGACACTGCTAACTAGCATTCAAATAGAAATGTCTTTTTTTTTTTTTTTTTTTTTTTGCAGTTTTTGGCTGGGGCTGGGTTTGAACCCGCCACCTCCAGCATATGAGGCTGGCGCCCCCAACTAGCATTCAAGAAGAAAGGGGGGATAATGATACAACCAGCTAATCCCGCATGGCCTGTGTGAGCATCCCAGAACCAGTTCTGAATCTTGAGGTTAGAAGAAGGGCCTAGGCAAGCCTGCTGGGAGAGGCCAACACCTGCAAAGAATATACAAAATGATTTTACCTTCTCTCCTTTCTATAGCTCTGGTCCACACCACAAATTGGGGGGAAGGTATGCTAAACTGTGAGGTGTAGTGCCTAACTCCCAAACACACCAGCCCTCCTCTGTTCAATGCTGGAGATCACCTTTCTCCATCATCCAGGGTCACAGGGTGCCATGTCACACACAGCTCATGTTTTCTCAGACATGTCTCAGTTGTTCAATACCTGTCAGTGCTTGACAAAAGTGTGAGTGTGTGACAGCCTCAGCCCTCCTTTAAAGGGCTTAGAAAAAAATCAACACAAGAAAACTGTTTCTCAACAAAGCATGGGCTCCCCCAAAGGATTCCTCGGTACCTCATAACCCCAACCAAACCCTGCTCCCAAGCAAAATGTACCCCACAAATAAAATCAGTGGAATCCACTTGCCGGCTAACTCACTCAGTTTAAAAGGAGGTCCCCAACAACACTGGTCTGTCCTGACAAGCGGCTCCCTCCCCTGCTTCAACATCAGACTCCAACGTTCAGGCCAACTTGGGAAGGAGCTAAGTCATCACTGCCCCTTTTGCATTCCTGGCATGAGTCCTTCTGCCACTGTCTGAGTTTCTAGACCACTCCACTCTGCCCTATTACCGAGATGCATATGTTTATAAATGAGATACAGTATTGAAATCATCTAGTTTTGCTTTTGAAATATTCTGAAGATCACTACAAAAATGCAAAGTGCTATTTTTATGCTAATGTTAATCTGAGCAAAAATATTGCCAGAAAGCATATTCTTCCAAAATGGGATATTTACATTTGTCTAATCAGTACTTACTGATTTTCCCACAAGAAACATGTCATTGGTACAATTAATAAATAACATTGAAGCTTGGCACCCAAAGCACAGTGGTTATAACGGTGCCAGTCACATGCACCAGGGCTGGCGGGTTCGAGCCTGGCTTGGGCCAGCTAACAACAACTGCAACCAAAGAATAGCTGGGCATTGTGGCGGGTGTCTGTGGTCCACCCTCTGGGGAGGCTGAGGCAAGAGACTCACTTGAGCCCAGGAGTCTGAGGATGCTGTGAGCTGTGATGCCATAGCACTCTACTGAGGATGACATGGGGAGACTGTCTCAAACAAACAAACAAACAATGTTGGCTAGGCACAGTGGCTCATGCCTATCCTCCCATAACTTGAAGAGGCTTAGGTGCTTGAAGCCAGTAGTTTGATACCAGCCTGGGAAACACAGAAAGCCCCCTAAGCTGTGTAGAAACCATGTTTCTACAAGAAAAAAAAAAAAAAAGTTTAAAAATTAGCTGGGCGTGATGGTGTGTGCCCATGGTCCTAGGTACTTGGGAAGTCGAGGTGGGAAGATCTCTGTGCCCAGGAGTTGTGACTACAGTGAGCTATGATGGAGCCATTGCACTCCAGCTGGGCTACAGAGTGAGACTTTGTCTCTGAAACAAAAAAAGTTTTATGAATCTTTTTTTGTTGTTGTTGTTATTCCTTTCAAAACACCATGGGTCTCCTAAAACCTAATCCTATGGCCAAGCTGCTTCTAAGAAGCCATAAACTGGTCCCCCTAAAGGGCCATGCACAACAAACATTTCTAGCAAAAACAGGTGCCAATGCTATGGCTGTCCAGTAATATACATAACTGAGACACAGTAATTTCAAATTTCCTAGTAGCCACCTTTACAAAAGTAAAAAAAAATAAAAAGCAGGTAAAAATATCCTAATATAATCATTTTATTTATTTTGAGACAGAGTCTCATTATATCACCTTTGGTAGAGTACTGTGATGTCACAGCTCACGGCAACCTCAAACTCTTGGGCTTGAGTGATTCTTTTGCCTCAGGCGCCTGCCACAATGCCCCGGCTATTTTTGGTTGCAGTTGTCATTGTTGTTTAGCAGGCCCAGGGACAGGCTGGAACCCACCAGCCTTGGTGTATGTGGCTGACGCTCTATTCACTGAGCTTTGGGTGCCAAGTCTATTATAGTTTTTTTGAGACTAGAGTCTGACTATGTCACCCTTGGTAGACAACCTCAAGCTCTTGGGCTTGAATGATTCTCTTACCTCTGCCTCCCAAGTAGCTGGGACTACAGCCGCCCACCATAACGCCTGAATATTTTGTTGTTGTTGTTGCAGTTGTCATTGTTTTAGCTGGCCCAGGCTGGGTTCAAACCCACCTGCATGCAGCCAGCGCTCTACCCACTGAGCTACAGGCACCACCCCCTAACATACTTGAATTAGACCAATATAAATTTATAGTCATTTCAATATGTAACAGATACAAAAAACTGAGGTATTTTATAGTCTTTTTTTCACACAAAGTCTTTGAAATTAATGTGTATATTATCACAGCACATCATAATTCCAATGATAAATCTATACCAAAAACATTTTAATACTTGATCTGCATGCAGATTTCATGAAATGTGGAGTTGAAAAAGCATTACATTCCCAAAGTGTTCCAAAGATACCTTAAAGTTTTCTTACAACTGAATTGAGCATAGATTTTTAAATCTAAATGGATTAAAATGAAAAATTCACTTCCTCAATCACACTGTGTGTTTCAAGCTCTGACAGTCATATGTGGCTAGTGGCTACCAGGCCCCAAAGGCCCCTTGGAGAGAGCTTGGACTCAGTTTAGGGCTTCTAGGACAGTTGCCGTGGGTGAGTAGATGTTAGTCCTGGATAGAGACTGGAATTAGGATGTATGTCCCCCTCAGGGGCCTGACAGTTTAATGGGTTTAATGGAGGCCGTCCCTCTGCCCTCTGCCCTCCCTAAGGAAAGCGGAGTAAACGCAGTGGCAGGGACAGGGCCTCCAGGGCGACAGGCCCAGCCCTTAGTCTGTGAGAGACGTGAGCAGGATGCTGACAAGGGCACTCCCCTCCACCCAGCACTCAGAACAGAAAGCTGCTGTGGAAGCTGCAGCTGACACCAGGGTGCCCGTTCCAGGCTTCACGGTGACCAAGCTCTACAGTGACAGATGATGGGGAGGGTGATATCGGATCCCAGCAGGGCCTGGTCAGGAGGGTGAGTGGCCTTGCTGGTGGTAGGGCCTCTGGGCCACCAAAACTACAGGAAACAGCACCAGCATCCAGGCCAGTGGTGTCTCAGAGCCCACGACACCAAATACTTGTCACTGCTGGTGAGCACTGCTCACTGCTTCTCGGAACCCAACACAGGCCCTGGCTGTAAGGATCACACTGTGCCCCCTGGTCCCCTTCTGTCACCAAGTGAGCCTTCCCACTAGCTGGCCCTCTAGTCTCCCATTCCCAAAGTCCCCCAAACCTCACTTCTCCTAAGCAGGGTTCAGAGTTCAGGGTTCAGAAGGACCAAGTGAGGGGCAGGCAGAGGCCTGGACTCAGTAGGCAGGGGTGGGACTGTGTTGAGAAGTGCCCAGGGAGATGCCTGGGGGTCAGGGGGTCTCCCTGCCCACTTGCCTCAGTGCTTGCAGAGGTAGCTCATTTTCTGAGCTTGGTCCAGCAGCTTCTATTTTTTTGGCTCGGTGCCCATAGCTCAGTGATTAGGGCGTTGGCCACACACACCAGGGCTGGCAGGTTCAAACCCAGCCCAGGCCAGCTAAGCAACAATGACAACTGCAACAAAAAAAGTAGCCAGGCGTTGTGACGGGCTCCTGTAGTCCCCACTACTTGGGAGGCTGAGGCAAGAGAATAGCTTAAGCCCAAAAGTTTTGAGGTTGTTATGAGCTGTGATGCAACAGCACTCTACTGAGGGCAAAAGAGTGAGACTGTCTCAAAAAAAAAAAAAAAGGAGCTTCCTTGCAGAGGAAGCTCATTTTTTGAGCTTGGTCCTGTGGTCTCCGTTAAACCCATTAAACTGTCAGGTCCGGGGGTGGGGGTGGGGG